TTGCCTGTTTGTATCATGAGCAACTCATGTTAATAAACATAAGAAAAACCATGATGCAATCTGTGTAGCTGATAGACTTTGATGACAGACGACTCATAAGTAACAAGAGATAACAAAGAGGAAACATAATAAACATGTACGGGAAGTCCTCCAACAATGACTATAATCACATGTTTTTGTAGATTAGCAATTGTACATGTCAAATGATCTTGGATTAAGGAAGGAGCTTGTGAATCAAAACATCTGAATTTGGACCTAGAGTCTTGAGGTGATCGTACTTTGGATGGAGAGACCATGAATAAGAATAAATGAATCTGGAACTGAGAACTAAATGGAAGACACACTGATCCAACAGATTAAGCTTATGACATTAATCACAGAAGGTAACTCGGTGACAACCAAGAACGGGGAGCTGCAAATTCTATTGTCTTAACAACGGACCTTTACTGGTTTAACTGTTATGATGTCTTTTATAGGTGGCTTTTGGGTTGTTCTTCGCTCTATCCTTTTATGTAACTTTCAAGAACCAACCAAATGCAGGTGTTCTAGATAGATATACGTGGCATGTGAGAAGGGACCCTGAAGTTCAGATGACGGTTCATTCTAATGTGTTCCCTTGAAGCAGTTTTCCCTTGTCTGATTTTGCTGTTCTACATGATTGAATGCTCATTTACTCAAATAGTAGTTGCAATTTTGTTGCAGAACACGTCATTGGTCACGGTTTCGCTTTGTCTGAGGGGCACTCGAGTTGTTGCGCTGTGTGCGTCAGTCCATTGCTCTGTAAAGAGTATTTATCTTGCTAGTAGAGTTTTGTTTGATATGTTTAGCTTATTGTGGTAGGATTTTGCTTATGTGAACTCAAAATTTATCACGTGCTCCTCCTTTGCATCAAATAAGGAAAGGTAATGTATAGAAGTTTTTTAGAGGTAAGATTGCCAACATGTTCTGGAGTATTGTGGCTGTTGGATATCTACAGTTTATGCTTTAGAGAGTTCTAGTATTTGCTTGACTGACTTCTTGTTCTGATTGATCCATTATGTGCCAACTGTACTTTGTGGACAATTATGATGTGAATTGTGTAGTATTGGATCTTGGGATGTTCTAATTTTATCTGTGGTTTGCAGTTCATATTGGTCATAATTGTACACGATTTGTTTTGTAGGTGGGTAGTCGATGAGAACAGTGGGCAGTCACCTCCTGTAACCACTAATTTATGTGGCTCATACTGCTACAATTAAACCACAATGCTAGGTAATCTGCTCTAGTTATAGCATCGTGGCGTGGATCAGAGTACTTTGTGATTACAGTTGAAGGGCTCCACTCTCTAGCCTGCAGCATTTGGAAGGAGTCAACCCAGCACCTGGTGCTCCATCTCTGTGGTGACATTTTAGGTTGTGTTGAGTCCCTAACTGAGTAGTCCATAACACTGAAGGTTGAAGCTGGTTGAAAGTTCCAACACTATCGATGGCAACAACGAGATTCAGCACAAGGTGGGAACCTCCCAGACCATGATCTTTGTTGGCAAGCAGCTGAGGATGACAGCATCCGTGTGGAGTAGAATACTCAGAAGGAGCCCACCCTTCACCCATGTCTCCATGATGGAATGTGATTTTCTTGAGGATATACATCTCATACATGCCAGAAGGTACATCTGAGACCTTCCTTCTAAATTCCGCCAAATCAGGGGAAGTTTGTCTTTGCAATGAAGCAGCTGAGAGTGGAAGGATCTCTAACATGGAAGCAGACCTTTGCCGGCATACCATCCAGGAGATATCAACTCTGTATCTTGGCTGCCGTTTCCATGGTGGTTTTTTAAACTGTTACTGGATGACGCTGTCTTCTTGTGTCAGTCGTTTCTGTCCATCTGGTTGTATGTTGCTTTTCATGATGTGCTCTGTCCAATGGGAACCTAGAATGTATTTTCTCACAGTTCTGTTCATTACGACTTGTGTGATTCTGTGTTATGCACAAGCAAGAGGATGCATATCTTGAATGTCAAATCTCTGTGTTCGTCTGGTGATGGTGAATTTATCTTGCTCCCTCCTTTAACTACGGTTGCGGCAAATCTACATTACCTATGATGCCACCTAGAACACAGATGCATATCTGGTCAGTTCTGTTATTGTCAGAAAGAAGTGTAAGTCACCCCTGGTATTTTTGTTTGCATGATTGCTCTTTTTTTTTCTTTTTTTTTTTGGGTGTGTGTGTGGGGTGTTTCAATCAGGGAAGCAGAAGAGGATTACCAGACACAATTTTTTCTTGGGATATAGGGGTTAACGCCAGTTACATTTCGGACAACCTTGATCAATGAGAACTACCGAATCAAAATTTATGACGAGAAATTCTTAGAAGAGCATGACTGATGGTAGTTATCTCAGTATGAAGTTGATGCCACACTGTTATCCATGATTGGATTGGACCCTGCTGATACTTTTGGATCTTGCTAGGAAGCACAGTTCTTTGCAATTATTCATGTTGTGTTTATCAATCTGTTGAGGTGCAACATACCAGGGTCTTCCCTAACAGTCGGAGACGTACGGTTGAACTGTTAACAGAGTGCTACTTTTTGAGGTAGAACTTTGGACCCTTTTTTTTTCCCTATCCTTCTAAATTAAGTTCCATGAAACAATGGCTGTGCGAATTGAAACCAACTCCAGATTACTATTCTCTTCCCATATTTCTCCTTTCAAGTCTTGTTTTCTGTTTGACATCAATATTCAGTATAGTTATTTCTATGCTGATCTCTCGTCTTTTAGTTGCAGGCATTGCTAGATTGTTTCACACCTGTTAGAATTATTCAAATGGGGCAATGAGTCTCCTAATACTCACACAACGATTCCTCTAATATTTTTTTTTCATTTAGGAGAGAAGAAGACTATATTGACAATGATGAGACAATTGGAATAACAAGGACATCACTATGTACCTCTGTTCTCTTCTTTGGTATCAACTCCCGAGCTTAACTCCTCAGCTTAGGATATCTCGTGAACTCAGCAGTACATGAAGTGCAACAAGAGAGCATAATAAACTTAATAATGAAATACCTCATGCAATTTTCTTTTGGTTGAGAGTCGAGATGGCATACATTTCAGGCAATTGATGGAATGGGAATTACCAAATAAATAAATTCTGAATATCAACGAGGAATTTGAGCAGAGCGAGGCAGAGGTAGCTATCCCAGTATGCAGATGATGGACCATTGGCCCCCCATTGGAGCATACTAATTAGCATCTATTCATGGAGTGCTTAATTGCTTATAGTCTATTGAGGTTGTCCCTATGGTCTTCCCTCTCTATCTACCTTCAAGTAGAGGTTCACGTACTTCATGAATTATCAGTAATTTATTGGCACGACTTTGCAGCTTTATACTATCTTGACAGTCTATATGTTTTTCTCTATGCTAAAATCTCATTTTAAGTTGCATTTGCAGAAGACATTGTCTAGATTGTTTTCACTTGTTATGGCTACTCAAACAACACAATGACCATCCCGAGAACTCACTCAAACCATTCCTGTATGGATGCCTCTTTTTTCCTCATTCGGAGAGCAACACTATGTACGTCTATTTTCTTCTTTGGTATCAACTCTATTGGACTTCCGGTAATCGTGCTTAGTACATTCCTGGCTTTGTTATTGATTCAATAATGTTGTGGGACTCAAAGCTTGTATTCAAGTCGTCAACTGTTCAAATCGTTGATCTATTATTTCACTTAGGATATTTCACACTTCAAGTACGTGGAGTTGGCATGAATTTGTGATCAATTGCCGTAAGATGGACTTTAGGGACTGGAAGTGCAATAAGAGAAGCGTTATTAACTTACTGGTCTTCTGATGAGAAGTACAAGACCATTTTATGCTGTAATCAGCACTGCTTGCAATTTTCTTTTGAGATAGTTGATGGTGCATACATTTCAGACAACTTTGATCTGCATGGGAATAACAAAGCAAAATTTCTGAATCATGACGAGGAATTCGATGAGAACGAGGCTGATAGCTAACTCAATAAGAAGATGATGCCATGCTGACAGTTAACCAGGGATTGGAGCCTGCTAGTACTGTTGGATCCAACTAGGTGAAGCACTACGTAGCAACTCCCATAGGGTGCTTTTCAGTCTATTGAGGTGTCATCGAGTGTTCCCCATCTCTCTTCCTTCAGATTGAGGTTGGCCTATTTTATGGATGTCAGTATCTTTTTGGCAGGAACTTGAGCTACATAATGTCTCAACATTTGGAGATTCAGCACAAGGTGGGAATCTCCCAGACCATGATCTGTGTTGGCAAGCAGCTGAGGATGACAGCATCCCTGTGGAGTAGAATGACCACCCTTCATCTCCATGATGGAATGTGATTTTTTTGAGGATATACATTGTATATGAAGTGGAGAGATTGATACAATCCACAGAGGAAAGAATATCTCATATATGCCGAAGGTACATCTGAGACCTTCCTTCTAAATTCCTCCAGATCAGGGGAAGTTTGTCTTTGCAGTGAAGCAGCTGAGAATGGAAGGATCTTTTTCATGGAAGAAGACCTTTGCCGGCATACCATCCAGAAGATATCAACTCTGTATCTTGGCTGCTGTCTCGATGGTGGTTTTTTAAACTGTTATTGGATGTTGCTGTCTTCTTGTGTCAGTCGTTTCTGTCCATCTGATTGTGTGTTGCTTTTCATGATGTGCTCTGTCCAGTAGGAACCTAGAATGAATTTTCTCATGGTTCTGTTCATTACGGCTTCAGTGATTCTGTGTTGTGGACAAGCAAGAGGATGCATATCTTTAATGCCAAATATCTTTGTTCTTTTGGTGATGGTGAATTTATCCGGCTCCCTCCTTTCCCTACTGTTGCCATAAATCTACATAACCTATGATGCCACCTAGAAGAGTACAGATGCATATCTGGTCTGTTCTGTTATTGTCAGAAAGAAGTTGCTAGTCACTCCTGGTGTATTTATTTGCGTGACTGCTCTTGTTTTTGTTTTTGGTGTGTGTGTGTGGGGTGGGTGGGGGGGTGTTCAATCAGTGAAGCAGAAGATGATTACCAGATGGAATTTTTTCTTGGAATATAGGGGTTAATGCCAGGTACATTTTGGAGGACCTTGATCAATGAGAACTACCAAATCAAAATTTCTGAATAGTGACAAGAAATTTTTAGCAGAGGATGGCTGAGGGCAGTTATCCCAGTATGAAGTTGATGCCACACTGTTACTGATGATTGGACTCTGCTGATACTTTTGGATCTTGCTAGGAAGTACAGTTCTCTGCAATTATTCATGGAATGTTGACTAATCTGTTGAGGTGCAGCATACCAGGGTCTTCCCCAACAGTTGGAGACATCTGTTAATGGAGTGCTACTTTCCGAGGTAGAACTTTGAACTGTCCTTTTTCCCTATCCTTCTAAGTTAAGTTCCATGGACAAGTGAAACAAACTCCAGACTACCACACTCTTTCCGTATTTTTCCTTTCAAGTCTCGTTTTCTGTCTGATGTCGCTATTCAGTGTACTTATCTCTATGCTGATCCCTCATCTTTTAGTTGCAGGCATTGCTACATTGTTTCACACTTGTTAGATTATTCAAATGAGGCAATGAGTCTCCTAATACTCACTCAACGATTCCTCTTATGTTTTTTTTTCTTCATTTAGGAGAGAAGAAGACTATTGACGATGATGAGACAATTGGAATAACAAGGACAGCACTATGTACCTCTATTCTCTTCTTTTGTATCAACTCCTGGGCTTAGGATATTTCGTGAACTAAGGCAGATTACTGACTAGGAGTGCAACAAGAGAAGCATAAAAAACTTAATGGTCTTCTAGTGACTATTTAGTTATGAACATCTCATGCAATTTTCTTTTGGTACATTTCTGGCAACTTTGAAGGAATGGAAATTACCAAATAAGAAAGTTTTGAATATATTTGAGCAGAGTGAGGCAGAGGTAGTTATACCAGTATGAAGATGTTGGACAGTTGGCCCCCGATTGGAGCGTACTAATACTGCTGGATCCAACTAGAGAGACGCTAATTAACATCTATTCACGGAGTGCTTAATTGCTTATAGTCTATTGATATTGTCCCCATGATTTTCCCTGCATCTCTACCTTCAAGTAGGTAGTGGTTCAGGTTCTTTATGAATGTCAGTATTTTATTGGCAGGAATTTGCAGCTATATAGTATCTTGACAGTCTATACATTTTTCTCTATGCTAAAATTTCATTTTGTGTTGCATTAGCAGAAGACATTGTCTAGATTGTTTTCACCTGTCATGGATACTCGAACAATGCAATGGCAATCTGAGAACTCAACTCAACCCGTTCTTGTATGGATGCCTCTTTTTTTCTCCTCACTCAGGACTCAGGAGAGCAGAAGACTGTTGACAATGATGAGAAAATCAGAATAAAGAGGACAACAGTATGTACGTCTATTTTCTTCTTTGGTATCAACTCTACTTGGCTTCTGGTAATCGTGTTTGGTACATTCCTGGCTTTGTTATAGATTCAATAATATCGTGGAGATCCCAGCTTCTTCAAGTCGTCAAGTCAACTATTCAAATCATTGATCTATTTTTTCACTTAAGATATATCACGTCTTCAAGTACATGGAGTTTGCATGAATTTAATTTGTGATCAATTGCCTCAAGACTTTAGGGACTGGAAATACAATAAAGAGAAGCTTTACTAACTTACTGGCCTTCTAGCGATAAGTACAAGACCATTTTATACGGTATTCAACACTCTTTTGAGATAGTTGATGCTGCATACATTTCATAGAACTTTGATCTGCATGGGAATCACAAAGCAAAATTTCTGAATCATGACGAGGAATTTGAAGTGAACGAGGCTAATAGCTAACTTAATAAGAAGATGATGCCATGCTGACAGTTAACCAGGGATTGGAGCCTGCAAAAACTGTTTGATCCAACTAGGTGAAGCACTACATAGTGACTTCCATAGGATGCTTTTCAGTCTATTGAGGTACCATCGAGTCTTCCCCATCTCTCTTCATTCAGACTGAGGTTGACATGTTTTATGGATGTCAGTATCTTTTTGGCAGGAGCTAAGCTATATAACAATGTCTTAACAATTGGAGATGACTGGTTAAACTGCTTATGCGGTGCTATTTTTCAGGGTAGAACTTTGGGTTGTTCCTTTTTCTCTTATATTTCTACACTAAAGCTTCATGAATGACATACAGGAGTGTGATGGGATAGATATACATGGCTGCATCCAACACATTCTCTTCCCATATCTTTTCCTTTCAGAACTTGCTCTCTGTCTTATGCTGCAATTTCATATATTTTCCTCTAATTTTAATTTCTCAGAAAGTGTATTTCTTGCAGAAGACCTCATCTGGACTGTTTTACTCCTGTTACAGTTATTCAAACAAGGCAATGGTGCGTCCTTCGACTCAGTCAAATCATGTTGTATGATTGGCCCTCCTTTTTTTAGTTGGCTTTCAATCAGGAGATCAGAGAACTGTAGAAAATGGAGAGATACTCTCGGAGTAACGAGAGAGGACCATCTTAAGATTTGATTAAGTAATGTTGTGGAGCCTCCCATGTTGCATCTTCACACTCTCAACTATTCAAATCTTTGATCTATTTTCCCGTTTAGGATATTTTGTAATCTCGGCAGTATGTAGTTTTACATGAATCTCTAATCAATCGCGTTGAGGCAGACATAACTGACTGAAAGCCTGACAAGAGAAAAACACAACAAACTCACTAGTCTTCCATTGACTGTTTGAAGGCTATTTGATAACGAGAACTGCTTGCATTTCAGACAACCTTGATCAGAATGGGAGTGTAAATCAAAATTTCTGGATCTTGAAGAGGTATTTAAGCAGAATGAAGCTCTGATGGTACTTATCCCAGTATGAAGCTGATGCCCTTGATCCAGCTAGAGAAAGAGATACTATTTAGCAACTATTCATGGTATGTACACCACTCGAGTCTTTCCCTATCTCTTTTCGTTCAAAAAGAGGCATACATATTGGATCGCATGAACTTAAGCTCTATATAATCTCTCTCTGTTAACAATTTAGAGACAACTGGTTCACTGCTAACATTACTAGTTGTCAAAGGCATGACTTTGGATTGGTCTTTTTCTCTTATCCTTGAAAAACTATCTCATTGCTGCGCGAAATCAACAGTTTATCATTCTCTTCCTGTCTTCTTTTTCTTTCAAGACTAGTTTTCTATCTGACATTGCTCTCAACACATTTTTTTCTATGCTGATTCTCATCTATAATTATATGTCTTTTGCAGACATCCTAGTTTGTTTTACACCTGCAATGGTGATACAAGCCGTCCAACTATCGGATTAGGAATGTGAAGGCTTGTTCAGAATGAGACCGGAGAAAGAAAGAGCTATACTATTGATCAGACATCTTTTGTCTCAGTTTAAAGTGCTCAATTCATGATTGATGAATCCCAAAGTCCAATTCATGTTGAATATTTTGAAACCTTTCAGTAAATGTTTAAGCATTTTCGACAAGTTGTGATCTCAACATTTCTATTACATGTTCTATATTGGGTTTTATTAGCTCATTGTTGATGAATTGTAACTTCAATCCCTGCTAGATGTTGTGATACTTTTCTATAAATATAGAGGGGCGGAACCAAGATTTTAATCTTATGGGTTCTTAATTTTTGAACTGACTACTTCAAGTGTTAATAACTGAGTTCTAAATTTAGTATTTATATATATTTAATGAATTTCTTAACACAAATGCATTATTGAGCTAAATCTAATGGGTTTAATTGAATCCACACTTGAACTTCTAGCTCTGCTCTCGTAATTATAAGTGTTTTTAATATAAAAAGAGTTACTATCATTTATTTGAACGATGAAACTTGCACAACAAAACTATGATTCAACTCATAATTGTGGTGCTTTTGCTCAATTCCTACACATGTCAACTATTGTTTTTTTTTTTTTATAAATCACTTAGAAATAATATGACAAATTAAATGAATTAACCAAATTAGTTGAATAGATTGTATTTTGCTCAAAAACAATCACTAGCATCTTGTAGAGTAATCAAGAGTTTGAGAGTGAGAAAAGAAAGCGAAAAATAAAATCTCAAGTTAAGGACTTTATATATCGAATAATATAAATATAATTTACTAATTAACTATTGGGTTTTCAATCAATCCGTTAAAAATAAAAAGCTCAAACTATTAAGTACTAATTACACGGTATATATATATATATATATATATATAAAATAATCAAAACCGTTAAATTAATAATTCATTACCAATAAATCAATAACTTTTTTAATTCAAGTTATTAATTTTAATTCAATTTAAACAACCCTACTAATCCTACAATGAAGTCGAACTCAATTACACTCTTTCCATGTTTTTAGAGTCGATTGAGCTTGACTTCATTATATAGAGTAAAAGGCAAAACATGAGGACTAATTTTGAGACAAATCTATTATCTTTAATGGGCAAAACTAAACTAACTGAAAAGTTCAAGGACTAGATAGTAATTTAACAGTCCCACGGGCCTACGCTGGTCCATCACACAGGGTATCGTGTCTCCCTCCTTACTTTTTTAGACCGACCTAACAAAAAGGGGCAAAAGCGTATCTTTATTAGCTGATTTCACATTACAATTTGCTTTTTTTCTTCTGTGTACTGACTTTTCTGTGCTTTGCTCAAAAGACTTATCCGGATTTTGGGGTCTGCTGTATTGCTATCGTCTTCAATCTTTACAAACCCTAACCTTCGGATCAGGTATATCTTCAATACCCACTTGTTTCTTTTGGTTGATAAGCTTCAGATCCGGTGAATTAGGTTTGTTTTGTTTGTCTAGAAGTTGTTTTTGTGATAAAGATTGGATTTTTATTTCAAGAATTGGGGGAATTTTGGGGATTTTGGGATAGAGATGTTGATTTATGATGGTTTGTGGGTTTCTTGTATTGGTTTTGCATAGCTTGATTAAGTTCAGGGGATACTTGGTGTTGTGATGTTTGTTGAATGATCTGGTTATGTATTCATGTTTGATGAAATTTTACATCAGAGTTGTGAGTTTTTGGTGTCTTATGAAGCTTTGGTATTGGGTTGTTTTTATCATTTTTGTATAATTGTGATTGTATTGTTGTGTAAGGATTGGTATTGTTTTTTAAGAAGTTTCTCTAGAGCTATGAACTTTTTCTGATTCAAATTTTGGGCCTTTTTCTTTTGGGTTGTTTCTTGTTGTGATAGTTTGGTTGTATTTCTTGAAGAATTGGAATTATATAGGAGTTTTATAGTAGAGTTATTTATTTTTTATGCTTAGGGATATTTTATTTTGGGGTTGTGTTCTCTTGCTGAATTCTAGTTGTGTTTTCGAAGGATTTTGATATCACTTTGGAATTTGTATGCTATTATTTATGCTTATTATAGTTTATCTGTTGAGTGGGCTAGTATGGTTGTTGGGGGAACAAAGATGTGTGTAAGACTACCTTTTCCAACCCTGTTTGTGGTGAAGGATTTCTTTTTCTGATGAATAAGTTTCTGTATTTGATTCTCTAGCTTTTTTCTTTCTTTCTGTGTTTGGTTGGATATTGGATGAGCTTTTACCAGTTCTTTTGCCTCCTGTTGCTCTTTATAGTAAAACATATGTGGGTCGCCTCTTTCTATTGTACATGCGGCATGCGAGGTGATAATGGATTGCCTCTTTCTATTGTACATACGACATGCGAGATGATAATGGAATCTGTCTGAATCTGTCTCTTGTGTATTGTTTTGGTGATAAATATCGGAATTTTCTGTAAGACTGCTCCTTATTGGTACTTTACTGCTAAAGCTGTCAGTATCTGATGTGTAGCCAATCTTTTGTTGTGGTTTTTTCTTTTCCAACTCTGTTTGCTAATAAAGGCTTCTTTCATCTGTTCAAGTTTATGTCCTATTTAGCTTTTGATTTTCCTGTTTTTTAGATAGGGTGTGCTGGTTTGTATTGATAATCTGGTATAACTGCTTGTCTACTATATAGGATATTTAGTTCATTCCTTGTTATTGTATGAATGCAAAATGATAACAGTCTATGTTGATGGTTGTCACTACTTGAGACGTGGAATTTTGATTTCTTGTTTATTCTTTTTTTTTTTGTAATAGCTGCTGAACTCTTTTTCATTTGCCTAGGTCTGAGCATCCAAGTTTCGAGATCTGTGTGCTCCTGTTGTCTTCTACTCTCAGCCAAGTTTCATGTCTGATCTCGACGTCCAAATTCCTACCGCTTTTGGTATGAGCCTCCTTGAATCATATTCTCTTTTTAGTGCAATATCGTATATTTCCTGTCTTATCAGATCATTAGATCAGTTTCAGTTAAATGTTTAAAAGTTTGGGTACATGTTTTATAGATGTAATACTTTAGATGCAAAGAAAGAAAAGGATTGTGAAGAAAGCATACTAGTTTAGAGGATATGAATTATATCTTCTTATCTTCCATACCTGACCAGTCTTGGTGCTTTATAATGCTATGTAGATCCCTTTGCTGAGGCAAATGCTGATAACTCTGGTGCTGGGTCAAAAGATTACGTGCACATCCGTATACAACAAAGGAATGGTAGGAAAAGCCTGACAACTGTGCAGGGGTTGAAGAAAGAATTCAGCTATAACAAGATACTGAAGGATCTCAAGAAAGAGTTCTGCTGCAATGGTACCGTCGTTCAGGATCCTGAACTAGGCCAGGTTTGTAACTTCACGTTTTAGTGTCTGTCTCTGTAATTGCAAGTTCCATGACTAATCTATGTATTTTATTGTTATGAAGGTTATTCAACTTCAGGGTGACCAGCGGAAGAACGTTTCTACATTTCTTGTCCAGGTGAGTGTGGTGCAGATTGAGCATGTCTTTTTGCTCGTTCAATATTAAGTTATCTTGCTACAATAATTAGATGCTTAAAAAAGCTGATGTTTATGTCATGCATTAAAAATCATTTGTGAATTTCACGTTTTGCGTTAACTTCTTCTGTCAATCCTAAATTGTGTCTTTTGAAATGAAGTGGGTTAGTAATAGGCTGAGCTGTGCTCATTAACAAAAAAAACTCATTTGGTTCAGTGATCCTTTCGATGGTGGGTCTTTATCTGTAGCTCTACTTAATTGACAATTTGATATGTTGCGGAACTTTCTCTGTTCAGTTGTTATCTACTATGTACTTTGTTGCTAATTTTCTCCCTTTTTGGATTCGTGGAAGCAGGCTGGAATTGTGAAGAAAGAGCACATCAAAATTCATGGTTTCTGATTGCTCTCATCAGCCTCAGCTTCACAGTTATCATACTTGTTATGTCAGTGCCAGAGATATGCTCTATCCAAACTCAGTTCTACTAAACTTGCTAGTGTTTAATTTCTGCTGGTTTGATATAAACACTGTATTTGCTTCTCTATGTTTCATCTGAATATGAGTAGTGTTATATTTTCAAGTACTTCACAAACCAATGATGATATAACTGAGTGCTCAAAAGATGCGATCCTTGTTGCTGATCATTTTAGTGCTGCTTAGACTTTGCCGCATATGCTGCAGTGTGCTTAAATACCAATCCATATTGTTGGAATAATTCTCGATTTGCTGGTTCTTGGAATTTTGTTCTTGAACTTCAGTATTAAAGGGTAGGGGTAATTTGATCTTCTAACTTGGTTAGATCCGTTTCTATGGTCTAGTGCAGATTAGGCACATCGTCGTTCACATACTACGTAAGCCCAATATTTAAGTGGAGACGAGTTGAGGGGCTGGACAACCACTGATTGAGATTTATTTCACTTTTTAACTATTAGTAATCACATAAGAATAGGATCTTGAGAGATGCACTGCGACTCTTGATCTCTAGATTTGAAGTTCCATCATGAAATCTTCTTTCTTGCCACAAGTACATGTGCTTGCCGTTTTTTGCCATTACAGTACAATCTTTATACCGTAAAATTTATTTTCAACATGATGAAAAGTTGCATGATCGGGTTGGTTCAGAATTTTTAAATATTAAATTAAATCATTTGTGTTGAATTTTTAAATTTATAAATTAAATTTTTCAACTTCGGATTTTTTGGGTGTACACTCCTATTTATGTATTCCTTTGGTCAAGTGGATTTTCCTTTCCCTCCCTATCAAACATCATATAAATAGATTGATTAAATGGGAAATATCTCCTAAAAATCCTCTCCAAATTTATTGTCGACCACCAATTTGTTCATCTTTAACTTTAAAATGTTCGATTATTGCTAGAAACCCAACTAACAAAAAAACAAAAATTGTGAGGCTCTTAATTCTAAAAATAATAATAGTGCTAACCACTATCTTTATATGAAAGAGAAAATGATAGTGAAATTTAACGCTTGCGTCAGGATTAAAAAATAGACACTCAAAAATTGTTGTGTAGTCAAATACTTTTAGAAAGCAACCCTTTCATCAATACGATTAAAATATTTCGTTTAGAGATCTTGAAGAGGCACTTATTATCCGAGGCGGATTTAGAGGTTTGTATACGGGTTCATAGAAATTTAATATATTTGCAAAAATTATCTTAATAAATATTTGATTGTGAATTTGATTACTGTGAGGAATCGTTTGGTAGCTGATATGAAGATGAGTTATATATGTATAAATTACATATATAAGTAGTACTCGTTTAGTAGATGGTTAGGAGGTGAATTATTCATGTATAAAGGATGGATTGTGGATTGCAATTTTGCAATTTAGAAATTTACATAACTAATTTTACATGAACTAATGCATTAATTTACTCATAACTAATCATTGTATTATTAATGCATCTATAGCTCTAACCACTGATCAAAACGATCCTTGTAGCGATGACGTAATCTTGAAATTGCCACAACACAACAATAAATTCAATGTGATTCTTAGGTAAGATCTGAAAAGGTGATGTGTACGTAAATTTTATCTCTACCTTTTGAAGTCGATTTTTTTTTTGATAAATCATGAACTTTCTTGAAATTGCATACATTTTAAATTTGTGTCTGATTATGACAAAAAAACAAATAGTATTTGCCCCCAATAGATCTTGTTAATGTGGTGGAGGGAGATATTTTATTTCTAAAATAGCAAGTGTCTTTTTCACTCATAACAACCTCACAAAATGATGATCAAAGAAGGGCCAGACCCAAAAAGCATGAAAAGACTAGAAAGGACAACACAATGGCATCTAAAAAATAATGAAGCTAATTTTGGACCATTCAACATGTCTATAAATCAAATCCATGATATCATTTTCAAAATCGGAATTAAAATTTGAAATTTATAAATTTTAGTTTCGAGTTATAAACTAATAACATGTACATCTTTCAAAGATTTAAAATAAGTACGATATTTGAATAAGAATTTAATTGAACTCGTAGCTGATATTCTAACATAACCTTTTTGACATGATAAGCACCTTGTCCTTGCATGAGAGGATATTCAGCAATGTTGAATGGAAATTGAAATAACCTACTTATTATAATAGTTAAACCGTAAAAATATAACAGCCAAATTAAATAGGTTATAATATTTGTTTTCATCATTAATTATCAATGACAAGAGACAGATTTTTTACCAAACTGAAATTTAATATTTATTATATAATGATGTGATTTTTCAAAGATGGGATTCGAATGAACTCTTCGATCCCTCTAACTCTGCCCCTGCCACTTATAATAGGAAACGTATACTACTACATCAATTTGCATGTTTAGGTGAAGTTCATTTTGGAACTCTTACTAATCGAGACAACCTTTGAATACCTTAAGAAAATAGTGGATGGTCGATTGCGAGCATCGCATAATAAGATCATTGTGGACATATATAATAAGATCAAAGATAGTTTAAATTAATTGTTATACTCCTCTTTGCTTTTATACCGTCTTCAATATTATAAACTACTTTTAAACCTATCAAAAATAAATTGTTGGTTTTATTTTTTTTCAAAAATAAAATACAATAACATTTATATTTTAGGACTAGTAATTTTATTTATTTATTTATAATATATGGAATTATATATAATATTTATTGGGAAAAGGGCCTGATATATCCTTAACTTTGCCATTTGGAGCTGATATTCCCCTTGTTATGAAAGTGGCTCATATATACCCTTACCGTTATACAAACGGCTCACATATACACCTACCATTACAAAATTAGCTCACATATATCCTTCATTTAACGGAAGTGAAAAAATTAGTTTTAAATTTATATTTTTGACTTTTGATTTCTTTATAAACATATTTAGGGGTATATATGATTTTTCTAGAAAATTTCAAGGTATATTTTAATTTTTCGGACATAAATTATTTTTGACTTTTTGATTATCGTTATTTGAGTTTCTTTTTCTTATTTTATTTTTTCTTTCATTCCTTAGTGTAAAGAAAAAAAATTAAAACTATTTTTTCGGATATATTGTAATTTAATTTTTGTTTTTGAAGAAAAAAATTGGATCATCTATAATAAATTTTACAAGAATATTAGCAAAACTTAAATAAATTTGACCATCAAAATAATAAATCTAAATTAGTCATTGTAAATAAAAAAGTTAAAAATAATAATATATGTTTGAGGATAAAATATACCCATATGAGATTATATTTTTTTTAAAATAATTAAACTAAAATTATTTTTTTCACTTTCGTTAGAGGAAAAGGGTATATGTGAGTCATTTGTATAACAATATGGGTATATATGAGTCACTTTTATAACGAGAGGTGTATCAGTTCTAAATGACAAAGTTGAGAAATATATCAGACCCTTTTCCCATATATATTTGGTATTCCTAGGACAAGAAATCGTTAAAAATCAAGATAAATAGTCCAATTAAAACTGGGCCCTCCACTTTAATACATCAAAAGGCCCAATATTGCAAAACCACTTGCTGAACAAGTGGGCCAACCTTACTGTATCATCGATTAAGGCCCTTCAAATCCTATCCTTCTCAAAATTAAAGTTTTTTAAAAAAGAAAAAGAAACGTATCTAGTGTAATTCTACTGTTGAGGTCTACAAGGGTAAGATATATGCATGGCGGAGAAACCTTAGATGAAGGGTGGTTCGGTGCACATCTTTTGTTGGAAAACTATGTGGTATATAGAGGTTAAATGTTCGAACATATATTCAATTATGCACCAATTTTTAATTTTGGATGTATGCAGACCTAACTCTTTTGTTTGAGATGTAGAGGTTGATTCCAATGATCTCTTGGCTAAAAGAGAGTATTCGATGCAAAATTATAAAAAAGAGACAGTAAAATAACAAGATATAAATCAAATGCATCACTATATCGTAATATCCCTTTCGAAATAAAGAAAAAATTGTATGCCTATCTACGTGTCCACTAATTGGGTTTCTATCAATTATTATTACTTCCCTCCATTTATATATCTGAATGAGTGACTCTTGTTTTATTTAAATTTTTAGGATCCAGATTAAATTTATTTATTCTAACTAAAGGAAATAGATTTTGAAAAAGAAAAAAAAACAATAACTTTGGTATGAAAATTATCAATCTTAACCACGGATACATGGATGGTGTATATTTCATCTATCTTAGTTTAGGTACTTACCAAAAAAAAAAAATTATTTATAAAAGAATATTGCGTTTAATATTTGGGTGAGATTTTAATTTATTTTGCAGGAAGTTCAATTGTTTTCTTAACAAAATTGGAGATTTAAATTATTTCTGAACTTTAGAACATTAAAAAGGTTTAAAACTTTTATTGGAGGAATGTTAATCATTTCATTTTTCTTACTGTGGTTATTAAAATAACGTAATCTACATTTTAAAACTCCGAACACAATAATTATTCTTTTGTTACATTTTGTGTGACACTAGTTTACTTTCTAAAAATATTAGTTTAAAACATTAAATTATCATTGAAAAGAAATTCTTATAATCACATAAATATTACTACAGGCTCAAAATCATATATTTTTAAAAAGGCATAATACATAAATATGCCCTTTAACTTGGCCTAATTTCACATTCATGCCTTTCAACTTTGAGTGTGCACAAGTAGACACTTAAACTTGTATAAAATTGAACAAATAGACACAAACGTCCTACATGACATCCTACGTGGAAATTTTTGTCCTACGTGTATTGTGACACGTATGACTCGTGTGTCTATTTGTTCAGCTTTATACAAGTGTAAGTGTCCATTTGTGCACAGTCAAAGTTGGAGGGCATAAATATAAAATGAGGTCAAGTTAAAGGGTATATTTATGTATTATGCCTTTTAAAAAATTAGGTGAAATACATAGCTTTAAATTTATAGTTAATTTTATAGCTTACTATGATTAATGATATAATCAAAGTAGATGATATATATATATATATTAGTTAATTCATTTACGTAATATATACATGAGAACACACACATAAGACATAATACATAAACATTATTTTTAACTTGATTTTGATGAACAACTATGCCCTCCAACTTTGAATGTACATAAGTAGACACTTAAACTTGTATAAAATTGAATAAGTAGACACACATGTTTTACATGACATAATACACGTAGGATGCCATGTAGAAAGAATGTGTCAATTTGTTCAATTTTATAGACTAATATTTCTTATGTTTTGATAAAAAAATTCGAAAAATTGTGACTAATATTTCGTCAAATTTTGGTAAAAAATATTGAAATATTTTATTAATAAATAATATAATTTAATTTAATATCTAAATAAAATATCGCGATAAATTTTAAGAACAGAGTAGTGCATGCTTTACAAGTGTTACTTAGCCAGATAGGCGTACACTGTGATAATGCCAGATATTTTTCTCATCACTCAGCTCTACACTTGTCAGTCCCCTATATAAATCCTTCCTCTTCCCCTTCCATTTCCACACTCAAAACTCAAACTTCTCCGCCCTAAATCCCAAAAATCTCAATTCTTCTCTATAATGGCTTCCACCTTGGCTTCCTCTGTTATTTCCAAGACTAATTTCATTGACACACACAAATCATCCTTCTATGGCGTTCCAATTTCATCACAAGCTCGATTGAAAATCGTTAAATCGACTCCACAAAACATGGCTGTTTCCATGTCTGCTGATGCTTCTCCTCCTCCTCCTCCTTACGATCTCGGAAGTTTCAGTTTTAATCCGATTAAGGAATCGATTGTTGCTCGGGAAATGACACGGAGGTATATGACGGATATGATCACTTATGCTGATACTGATGTTGTTATTGTTGGTGCTGGATCTGCTGGTTTATCTTGTGCTTATGAACTCAGCAAGAACCCTGATGTTCAGGTATAAATTTTTTTTTTTTAATACATAGATATCGAAATTTAAGTTGACAGATTCAGGATTTAGAGTTTACGGGTGCTATATATCACGATTTCATTATAGATATCAGACTTTTATCTGCAACAGGAATTCGATCTAGATTTGATACATCATAAATCAAGGCTCAGTAGACTTGTTATGGCCTCGATTGTACTCCTTCCGCTGCAAATTCATGTGTTATTGTTTGATTTGACATGACTCGTGAGACAATTATTGAAATTTGTTATATAATGTGACCTTTTTTGGACTGGACTAAAAAGAATAGGGGTCACATAAATTGATACATAAAGAGACCTGACAAAAAAAATTGTTTCCGATAAGCTCAAAAGAAACACAGGTTTCCTGTTAAAAGTATTTTACAACTTTACTCGTACTCATAAATCATGTGACACTTTTGTCCTTAGCTTTATTTGCTAGTTATTATTTGAGTGGGACCATTCAAGACACAAATCATATATTTATTGGGAAAGTTGTTTTTGTATGCTTGTGAACCAATGATATTGCTTTTGTGATAGTCTTAAGCTGAATTTGAGCGGATAACATGAGTTTAATTGAATATACAGAACCCATCCTAGATCTGTACACGCATTCACAATCACAATGAAGTGATTTGATATTCTAATTGCTATAATTTTCGTTACAATATCTATGTTCTTCAATTTGTGCTTGTAAGTTGTTTATGTGAATTGACTTTATTTGTATAGGTGGCCATTCTTGAGCAATCTGTGAGCCCTGGTGGAGGTGCTTGGCTAGGCGGACAACTCTTCTCTGCTATGGTTGTGCGTAAGCCAGCACATCTTTTCCTGAACGAGCTAGGCATTGACTACGACGAGCAAGACCACTACGTGGTCATCAAACACGCTGCCTTGTTCACCTCAACCATCATGAGCAAGCTTTTGGCCAGGCCAAATGTGAAGCTCTTCAATGCTGTTGCAACAGAGGACCTTATCGTGAAGAACGGAAGAGTCGGTGGTGTTGTCACTAACTGGTCTTTGGTTTCCCAGAACCATGACACACAATCATGCATGGACCCTAATGTTATGGAGGCTAAGGTTGTGGTCAGTTCCTGCGGCCACGACGGCCCCATGGGCGCCACCGGTGTTAAGAGGCTCAGGAGCATTGGCATGATTAACAGTGTTCCTGGAATGAAAGCTTTGGACATGAACGCTGCTGAGGACGCGATTGTTAGACTTACCAGAGAAGTTGTACCTGGTATGATTGTTACAGGAATGGAAGTTGCTGAAATTGATGGAGCACCACGAATGGTAAGTATAAAGTACTTGAACGTCTATATTGTATAAACTCATAATTTGCCTACGCCTCAGTCTCAAACAAGTTGAAAAAAGCTCGTATAGCCGATCCAATAGTATACTAATTGGAGATGTTTTATATTGTACAGGGTCCAACTTTTGGAGCTATGATGATATCAGGACAGAAGGCAGCTCACCTCGCCCTACGAGCGTTGGGATTGCCCAACGCCCTTGATGGAACTGCAGAAACAAGCATCCTCCCAGAGCTTATGTTGGCTGCAGCTGATGAAGCTGAAATTGCTGATGCTTGAATGTAATTATAGTTTTCTAAGTAAGGATTATGAGAAATATTAGTTTTTCCTAGATAAGTGAGTATGGTTGTGGTGGTGAATGATAAATTGGCAAGGGGATGATGAATAAGAGTCTTTAAGATGAAAGTCACTGTGTTAACTTTGACTATTTTCTTTTGATTATTTCGATTTCGAAACTTTGTATGTGAAAAAAGTGGTAGATTTTAGTTTTGGTCGTTGAATAATCTTATGGGCCTTTTGGGTTTCGTTTTGGTACTTGATATGGTTTGGGCCTCATTGGAGAAGCCATATGAATGAACATTGTGATTGGGCCAATTACTTTTAAAGATGTTTTTGCACTAATGGCCTTTTGAGGTCATTCACATCCAATTACTTTCAAATGCAAAATTTAGTCCATTTGTTTTCTACACATAGTGGAATTTTACCCCATTTGTTTTCCACAACATGGTGGAATTTTACAAGTGGGACCTCGGAATCTGGGCAGGGTAGAGTCTGCGCAGATTTTACCACTGTTTTGTAGAGATTTTTAGAAATGAAGAAAGAGAAAACAATGACGAAAATATAATAACTAATAAGAGAAGCAGTGTACCGCCGAATACGCACAACAACGAAATAGTCCAATTGATTTTGATTTACAGGAAATATTTCATAGAGTAATCTAAAAGAGGTCATACATTGTAAATAATTCACTTTTAAAGACAATTATATGTAGGACTTGCACATTGAATAATAGGAAAAGATAATAATGAAATTTTAATCGAAGATCATTTTTCTTCATAAATAATGATGTTATATGAAATGGACAGATGCTAGTAGAATTGTTATTAGGATATTATTGTATAGCCTTAGTAACCTTTTAAGTTACAAATATATACGATAAGTAATTAGTTTAGAGAAAAGACATAAAGTTACCATCAAAGTTGTTTTGAATTTTTACAAGGTGAAATGGTCTGGTGACCCTTATACTTGTATCCGTTTGTATTCTGAATCCTTCTACTTATCCCTTTGTATTCTGAATCCTTCTACTTATCCCTTTGTATTCTGAATCCTTCTACTTATCCCTTTGTCATCTGGACCCTTAAACTCAATAAAACACAATTTAACAAATCCCTCTGACCATTGACCAAGCTTATGTGTTTTTAAGATGGCTGAGTGTGTGACTTCACGTACCTTAAGGCGAGTGAATATTTTTTAGGTAAATTTTTTTTTAACTCAAATGGCCATATGGCCTATTATATTAAAAATCAAAATAAATGCAGGATAGCAGGTCTAAAAACGACCCAGCTGGAAAGAAAACAAAGAGTCAGCAGGAAAAACATAAAACAAAACAATAGAAATAATCTAAAAAAAAAAGAAAGAAAAAGAAAGTGAAATTAACATTTTAGCACAAAGTATAAGGGTCAACCAGATGACAAAGGTGTAAGTAGAAGGGTTCAAAATACAAACTGATACAAGTATAAGGGTCAACCAGACCATTTTGCCTTTTTTACAAAGACATCTTAACTTTGAGGGCATTCTATTATCCCACAAAAATATTGATATCTTTGTAAAAGGATCATTTTGACCCATTTTCCCTATTGTGAACATGCGCGTGGTGCTCACTCATAGTAACAATAGCAAATCGTTCAGCTGCAAACTAAAACCCTCATCAGTATGTATATCGAAAAAGCTGCTTGTGATTTCAATGACGAAGACTAATTCATTGAAATCGATAGTAATGGTATTCGGAGCCATGTCTTTTAAGTGGCTGGTGATTGAGCTCGTTTACAAACCATGGCTTCATAAAACCCAAGCTTCAATGGACAAGTCTCTGCAACATCTTGCGACCTTGACGTTCAAAGTTCAGAAGCTGAAAAATCTCAGGTCGATGTTGATCTTTCCGAAAAAAATTGATTTGAGAGTTTGGTTTGATTTTTGGATTCTCAAAACAAAATGAAATTAAGGGTGTGTTTGGTATGAAGGAAAATGATTTCCTAGAAAATATTTTCCTGGAAAACAAGTTGATTTTTGACTTATTTTCTCATGTTTGGTTGGTGACTAGAAAATATTTTCCAGAAAAGATTTTTAGTGTTTAATTTATAAATGAAAAATGTTTTTGAGATATATCTTTTATTTATACTTGAGTAGAAAATAATTTTTGAAATTGAAAATATTTTTTAAAAACAAACTTAATTTTTTTTGGGGTGGGGGCTGGTAGGGGGTG